CAGCTGCAGCGGCGGTGAGCAGCGCAGCTGCAGCTTCTGTCTGGAGGAGGAGGACGAGGGAGCGCGGGTTTGGTCGGGAGAAACCAGAGGTTTTTTTTTGCAAATTTGCCCTCACGACATGTTTTTCGGGACGGAGGGAGTACTTTAGTGATCTAGACGCTCTTATATTTCTTTACAAAGGAAGTACTTCGGAATTTTGATGAAAAGATCAGCGGCATATATCTGTAAAATAATGCACTATGTAGTAGCAAACTCCAGAAATATAAACTCGCAAACCAAATCAATTTCAGAAAGTCAAGTAATTACTTTAGCACAGGAACACAACACTTTATAAGCACTTCACAGGCGCAAAATCAACAAGCATAATCAAGGGACTGCAAAATAATTAGGCCAGCTAACCACCACTACTGTGGTATAAGCAATGCAATAACTTAAACAGTAGGGATACCTACAGACATCAAGTGGGGACTAGACCAACATAATCCTCAGAACTATCTTCTATCCTAATTAACACAGCGATGATTGCGACAACGGTCATGATCATGCTCAAAAGACAACCGAATATTGTCTTATACTTCCTGGTCTTCCCGCTGCTTCTTTTCACACAAACATCTAGCTCCTTGAACTCAACCTCAGAGGATTCTTCGCGGGTTGTATCCGCAACTTCAGTACTAGACAGGCCTGATTTATCTTCATTGCAGACAATCTCAGTGGTGCCGTTAGCCCTAGGCCTAACAACAGCAGTTTCAATCTCTTTGTCCCCCTCTTCAGTCTTGCTCTCAGAATGCTCAGATTGCATATCCTCAGATGACTCCGTTAGTTCCTTGTGTTCCTGATCTGATGGTGGTGATGATGATGACGATGACGATGATGATGATGAGCAGTTCAGCTTCATAATTGATTTTTCCTTGTGGCGATCAGAGTCAAAGTCATACGAACTCTGGAGGGATCGGAGAAGCTTTCTCGGCGTCGTGTATAGCTTCACATCATCAATGCTGATTGGCCTTTCAGAGGCCTAGAACAACAATAAATAACAGAGTCAGTTAACAGATCAACTGATGAACACTTTATATATTTTTCGAATCAAAACTAGAGCAGTATAGGCATTTCGTTATGTGAACGCACCTGCGGACTGGGGGTCTCATCTCTTGACAAGGTGTTGTTGGGGCTAGCTGAAACAAACCCTGTGAATGTACCAGTGCACTCAAAATCGGCATCGGTTACTTCGCTGTCACAAACCTCCCCCAGGTCATCTTCAAGGCACTTGCCGTTTGAGCAGAACCTAATGAACAAGCCATCCTTGAGAGAAACATCCACACCATCGTTGCTCCATAACCTCCTGTTCGCGCGCCGACTCTGATCGAAATTGCAAGAGGACTGCCCGATCGAGATGGGCGATTCGGTGAGCGTGCTACTGCCATACATGATGGTTGAGTCTACCACCTGTGATTCAGGGGACTGGAACTGAACCGGTGAAGCAGACATGGTGGAGCTTGCAGGGCTGCTGCCCTTGACATTCCAGAGGCTCCTGCATGGGCTTTTCTCTCTTCTCCTTTGGAAGTTGGAGCCTACCATCGGGCTGGTGGTGACCTCGTGCCTCGACCCCTTCTGCGCAGCAATGTTCTTGGCAGTCTGTGAGGTCTCAAACGCGGCGCCTCGGACGAACGGCATGCGGTCGTTCTGGCATTGCTCCATGACATCCACCACCTTGCCAAGCTCCGAGGATATGCTCCTGGGGTCGACAAACTTCATGAAGAAATTGATCATCTGGATCGCCGAGAGCCGCTTCTGGGAGCTGCTCTCCGCGGCGTCGCCGTCAAGGACCTGCAGGGCAGACCGCACAAGGGACCTCGCATACGCCTCTGCAATCAGGCCATTGTGCTTGACAAGCGCCATTGCCAGGCCCATGTGAGCATTGGACCGGGTCGACCTGTCGTGCATCGCCCCGGCGACCTTCAGGCAGACCTCGTTGACGGCCTCACCGGACGCAAACCTCCAGTTGCTCGACTCGACGAGCGCCTTGAGGCAGAGCGCGGCGCCCGACGCGGCGCCGTCCTGGTCGCTCATGAGCGCGCCGCAGAGGGGCTTGCAGAGGGAGGCGATGATGCGCGCCTTCTCCTCGGGCGCCGAGGGGTCGATGCCGTACCGCGCTATGGCCGGCACCACCTTGGAGCACGCCTGGTGCAGGGGGAAGGAGCCGCCGCTCGAGGACAGCGTGCGCGTGATGGTGGACATGATGTTGCCGATCTGCGGCACGATGTTCCGGCCGTGGACCCTGGCGAGCACCTCGTAGAGCGAGATGGTGAACTCGCCGGAGGGCAGGCCGGGGGGCTTGTTGTCGGAGACCTCGGCGAGGAAGTGGGGGATGGACTTGGAGTCGAGCTGCTTGGCGTAGGACTTGAGCGTCTTCATGGCGTTCCGGCGGCTGTCGGCGTCTTTGTCCAGGTTCTCCAGCTCCTGCCGGAGCAGCGGGCTCAGGCTCCGGCCCATTGGGTTGGTGGTTCTCGCCTTCTCGGGACAGGAAAATGCGGCAGCTTCCGGCGGCGCGCTGGTCCTGTGATTCAAACCCAAGATTCAGGCGAAAAACTTGCATCTTTCCCTCATATATCTAGCATAATTAAACAGATGTGATGGCAAATTGGCCCTAGCATCCATCAAGCATACTATACTCCTACAAGATTACGGTGTATCGGAATTTAGTAGTCCATAAAGTAGTGCCATAAATACCAAATCATGAAATGAATGTCAGATTTTCAGAAACAAGAAACATTCTTTGCAGGGGGACTCATTGTTCCGCCCCACTTCCGCATGGCCACATCAGGAAGAAGCAATCCAATCGCAACTAAACTACACATCGCGCACTTTTCTCCCCCCCGAACCCCCCTCCCTTTCCAATCGAGAAACTACTGTAAGGAATCGATGCGTAACAAGACCAGCAAAGAGGGGAGCAGTATGCTCCAGCATTGAACTGACCTGGATCGAAGAACTTGCAAGGCCTCGCAAT